TTTTTAAAATAAATAATTTAATTCATGAAAGTTAAATAGAAACTTATTAAATTATAAATAAGATGAGCATTAATTTTACCTTTCCATCGACCATAGAAAATATAAATGATTTTAACTTCAAGCTGTTCTTCATCAAATAATACATGCGTATTACTTAATTCCCTTATTTGTTGTTCTATATCTTTAACTACTAATTTTTGTATTTTCAATAGTTTCTTTCATGAACATATATTTTATAGGTCGGCAAAATCTTATTGACGACGGAGTGAGATTTTTCCAAATAATGTCATAACTATTACCACTATTATCACTATAACATCGAAGTTCAAGAGGGACAATAGAGAACATAAATACCGTTTGGTCTGTTTTACACACATTACTATTAAAATTTTGCCTATATTGGGCTTGACCACTACTACCGTCACAGCCCCATTTAGAAATCATTTCAATAGATTTTCTATTTTTTTCAACCTTGTTTATTGTTTTTATTCGAAAAATTCTATTAATTGTGTGATCTAATAAGTTTTGAAGAGGTATTTTACAACCTGATTCGCTAACATCCAAATTATTTGGATAACACTTCAGTTTTGCAAAATAAACTTTTTTATAAGATGGATAAATATTACAGTTCCTTTTTTTAGAACCAAGACGAATATTCAAGTATTGTTGTTTTGTAAGCTTATTATCAATAATAAATGCTAGAGCTTCGTCAGGGGTATACGGAATTGGTTTACTATCATTGGAATTTTCCAAAATCATTTTCATTGCTGTTGAACTATTAGTAGAAGACGATAATTGGTCAAATAATAAAGCCTTATTTTGATTACCAGAAAAATATAGTTTATTTTTTGCAGCGGATAAAACTTCAGGTGATGTCATTATAGTTAAAGTAAGAGCAGAGTTTATTTTACGTCTCTTTGAACGTTCCGAAGATTCAGTAAAATCGACATTAGGTCGGCCATTGATAGGTTTGGAACAAATTTTCCTATTTAATGGCATTTCAAATGGCGTTTTAAGCCATTCGGCGTTCGCTCTTAAAAAAATTGCATTGTGACGCTGTACTTTAGACCATTTCCTAGAAACCGCCATACAAAATATTAAAACTTTATTTTCAACTAGTTTTGTAAAGGTAGTGCTCCAATTAATTCTATTATATTTTAATTTAAAAAAATCAAAAATAATTACTCTTGAAGAAATATTACTGATATTCTGTAAGCTTATACCATTACATTTAATAACATCAATCAAATCTTGATTTAATAACAAACATTTTGACATATGAGCAGAAGCTAAAAGGCACGTTATTAAAAGTTCGATGTAATTAAAACTAATGATTCGTTAAAATTAAGTTTAAATAAAGTTTTTAATAATATACATAAAATAAAATAAGTTATACAATTGTACCGTGCCACTAAATTTTGTTTTATTTTAGACATACTATTATATTATTGTTAATATAGTTTATTATTGTTAACACTTACCACATACTTGATTATCCATTATTTAAAAATAATAAAATAATTTTTACAACTTTTAAATTAAAACAAAACTGCAATTAATTCACTGTGAAACTTATAAAAAATATGTCNAATTCACTATGAAACTTATAAAAAATATGTGCAAATTATTATGACGTGACGCGCTGTTTGTAACATGTAACACAATCTGATTAAACAGAAAAATGTTTTGGTAATAATAGTAATATATTATAGTGCATTTTTTACAATTGAATTAGTTTGGGTTTGGTTTATTTGGTTTATAACAGTTAAAAATGGTACTTTTGGCCGGCTAAATCAGCGTTTGGTCCCACTGTGTGTCGTATGCATTTTATGAAAAAAATGGCAACGTTGTCTTTTTTCACGCCTACGCATTTTATTATTTTACTATATAATACTATACGCTCTGTATCCTGTCACATTCGTGTTTAATTGACGTTAACGCACAGTTGATTATTTGAAAACTATAAATTTATTATTTTAATATTTTACACGCGCAAATAAAAAATAATGAACCAGCAAACGTCTTCTGTACTAGGTATGTAGATTTTTACAATTATTAACATTTTAATATCTCTTTAATTTTACCACCCCTACCATCTTAATTTATTTTTTATTTTTTTTTTCCAATAAATAAATTATTTATTTCATTTTTGATTAAAGCTACTTCCGTGACATCTGTTTCATCACGTCAGGCGGCTAAGCGTAGTAGGACCAACAATAGCGCGGTTAGGTCGAAAAGGTTACGTATGCAATTGACGGATACCAGTGATTTCACCGAGATCGATTCTGCATTGGAGCGGGGAACCGTTTGGTTTTATCGGAAAAATGTGGAAAATTTCGCGAGCTATCGAGATTTTCTGCGCGCCGTTAAACCCAAGCTGGTGGCCAGACTCGCTGAAATCGTAGGTAACCGTCTGATCAAGTATAATCTCAAATTGGAGGCCTCATACTATATACCGCGATCAGAAGTACCGCCTGAAGACCGTGCCTTCAAGACAGGGGCTAGGGTATTGCTATCAGATTACGAGGAAGACACGTACTCGGGTAGGGGTAACGGATTCTCGCTAACGCATATCGACGGCCTTATGCTCAGCGTATACAAGTATACACCCCTCGCCAGCTCATCATATATTCCTGTCCCACCAGAGAATAATCAAAGAAAAGCAATCATCAACCCACTGAATATCGATCAGTCTTGTTTCAAGTGGTCCATTTTGGCAAGACATGTTGGTGGGAGTAGGTTCTTTATTACAAGAATCTTCAATTGCCATTTTCATTTGGGGGACACTATTAGGAGACAACAGTAGTTTATTAAATAAAGCAGCCTCATTTCTTTTCCAGACACAAATAACTTTTTTTTTGCTGCACATAAAATTTCAGGTGATGTCATTGATGTCATAGTTAACGCATAGTTAATTTTTCGCTGCATTGTTCGTTCTGAACATTCAGTTAAATCAACCAATGGTCGGCTCTGTATTGTTTTAGTAGATTTTTATTAAAAATGTATAACTTGTTAAACAATTTTTCTAGTAAAAAATAAATCTACACACATTTATAAATTGATTAAATAAGGGTATAAATTATTTAATAATAACTTACCAGGTGTTTTAATGTCTATTTGAAGAAAGTAATTTTAAAAGTTAAAAACTTATAAAAAACACTGTATTGAAAAAATGAATAGAAAATAGAGAGATTAACACATAGAGAATGGTTAACTTTATGACATAATATAACAAGGAAAAAATTTTTCGTCAGATAGATATACATTCAAGATAACTTAAACACTACCAAATCTTATCGATGAGTTCATATCATGTCATTTATTAGTGCTAACTTATGAGGATGCCTATAAAATCGTAATAACACAATTTTTAGGGAAATACTCGTTTATTCTAGGTAAATCCAGTATGCACAGTTCAAATATTATTGAGCGCAAAATTTTTTTTTTTCATAGTATAGCTGATGACTATCTCTACAAGTAACATGTATGGATTAATGTGTAATTTTGCGTAATTTTTAGTTAATCTCTTTAAACGAGCAAACTAGAAGAAAAAACGAAAAAATTCGAATTTTTTTTAAGTATAAATTTGTTAAATTCCACAAAAAAAAAACTTTTTTTTTCTTTTTCATTAAAAAAAGGATATATTTTTTAATAGGAAAAAAAAATTTTAATTTTAAATTATGTTTTAAGGCATAAAAAAAATGTACAAAAATAAACTCAAAATTACTGAAAATACGGATAAATTTTAGAAGTATAACATTAAAATAGCTCTACAACTGCACTAAATTAACTTATGCCCTTGAAAATTTGTATTAAAACCCTTAAGTATGATATTAATGTGTTTTGCTAAAGAAAAAAATTTTAAGTGACTTTTAAATGGTACTTTTGGTCGCCTAAATCGACGTTTCATTCCACTTTGAGTCGTAGTCGCTGCGGGTTGATACAGTGCGATATCTCGAGATCCGTATCGTGCGGTGTCACGGAGATTACTTAACGTATATTTGCGGCGGGTCGTAGATGGACGTGCGGCACTTGCTGGACTTTGTATAACACACGATGAAATCATTATGGCTATGTTAGATGTATTACGGTCATTCACTAAAAAAACAACAGCAAAAGATTTGATGGCTATTAATTTATACTTGAACAATGTTTCAAATTTTATAACTAGAAATTGCTCTGGAAAATAATATCGAAATCTTTCGAACGTTCTCAGAGGTTATCAATTACATCATAGAACAATAGTTGACGAACTAAATGAATTTATTATAACCATCAAGTTGTGTAATAATTGATGCACATTCGTAACATCCGTCAGAACGTGGGACTAGATTAGAATTGATTATTATATATTTTAAACAATACTAAAAGAGATATAATAATATAAAGAGTAATAATAAAAACAGAAATTCGGCGAGTGCTAAAATTATTTTTCTCTCATTTTAAAAATATTTTTACACAAAAATATTTGAAATTTTCTAATTTTTTGTGCGTTTCTGTGGAGAGTAATTAGGGCGACTACACTTCTCCCTTAGGACAATACTCAGTATTTTTGTTGGATAATTTGACAATACTAATATTACAAAAAAAATACAATAATATTAATAATAATAATTCTCTAATGAAAATTAAACTAGCATATTTATTTAGTTAAATAAATACAAAAAATATATAAGGTAATAATTAGCTATTTATATATTTAATTTCATTTAAACGGACAGTTTTATTTCTTAAATTAAAAATTTTCTTCAAAAAATACATAAATGTGTATTAATTTATGAGGAATGATTTAATAAAATATTTAAACATGATAAAATTAAAATATATACACGATAAATTAAAATAAAATTATACAATATCATATTATAAATAATTATCATTTAGAGATGTACAAAACTGGGCAAACTATTGTTATTTTTAAAATAATTTATTTAAGTATAATTTTATTATTTCTTTGTTTAGCTACATACATAATTCAATGATAAAATAATAAGTTCTTTGATTTTCTTTTAAATGTATTAATGCTAACACAATAATAAAAAATGAAAAATGAAAAATGATTATTAGAACACAAACTAAACACTGTATTTATACACAAAGTATCAGTTTTGCTAAGTCATATCGTAAAGGAAATTTATTGTTAACTGATTTAAACCGTTAAGTATGGATTTATTTATATTGATCATACTATTGAAATCAATAAGTTTTTGTATCGGTTTACCTGCATTAGAACTTCACTGCAATTTTTCAAAATACATGTTAAATTTCTTTAAGCATAATGAAAAATATTTATTGCATCTAGAAAAACGAAACAATATTCAACCAGTTGATTTTGAAGACTTAAATACCTATGGCGCAGCTTTAAAAACACATGGGAAAATCATTATGGCTATGTTAGATGCATTTCGGATATTCAGTACAGATCCTATAGCAAATGATTTGATGTCTATTAATTTATACTTGAACAATGTTTCAGGCTCATTAAATTTTATAACTAGAAATTGCTCTGGAAAATATAATCGAAATCTTTCGAACGTTCTCAGAGGTTATCAATTACATCATAAAACAATAGTTGACGACCTAAATGAATTTATTAACAAAAAATGCACAAATGTGACTGTTGATGAAGATTTTATAAAATGTCCCGATTATAACAAATCAGGAATATATAACATTAAAGATTTGCCAAAATTTTCAGAAAAACTAAAAAACCGATTTAAGAATTTTGATACTAATAATACGACGACAACGGGTAATGAAAATAAGGTTTTTAATATATTACGCACATTCCTCAAATCAAAAAATTATAAATCCCTTGATCCCAAAAACTTGCTATTTTTTGATTTATTGAATCATAACGTAGACAATCAAGATAAACAATCTACTTCAATAAACAGTAATAAAAATTTAGATTTATTGAGATATGCAACTTTTAAAATTAAGTGTCCTAATGAATCTTTTTTAAATATATCAGATGTTTTTCAATACATGTTGTACAGTTTTGATGTTAAAAATTTGCTTACATTCCAAGAATTAGTATTGGCTGCATCTATACAACCTTTAGTTCTAATCGCACGAACTTTTAGTCAATTTGCTAATAATTTGTCAATATCCGTTGATCATAAATTTATAAAAAGAAAAGAGATAAATTTTGCTAAATTAGTTAATGTTGGTGAAGAAATCATAAAGAATTTAGGTCTTATAATTCATTTAAAAATGTTTAAATTTGGTCCAGAAAATATGCTAAATACAATATTCAATGTTTTAAAAGAAGTTGTTTCTCGCTTAAGCCATGAAATTGTAGGCAATAGTTTTATATTAAAAAGTTCCATACAACATATGTATTCATACTTAAGGAGTAATAAATTGCAATGTACAATTGGTATTATTGATATAAATAAGAAAATTAATGTATTTAACTTTCATTCATTATTTTCAATAATAAAACAATATTCCCAAAAAGTTACAGCATACATAACAGAATTGAAAACCTTTAAGGAACTATATAGTAATTTGCATAGTACTTATTATGTAGCATTTTTTTTAGCCGGCAAAAATAAGAATTTCATTCATGATGACATTATTGGTAAGTTTTCAAAGCAACTTAGAAATGTTTAGTAAAATTTTTATGTGACATGTGAAACATAATTACTTGTACTTAATTTATGACTTGATTAACACCATTTGGATTGATCAATATACATTTTAAATAACTCTCCTCATCTATGATTGTAATAATCAAATTAGTTTATTTGTTTTGAATTTTTTTTTTTTATTAAAAAAACATATTTGCTTAATAATGTTCGATTTTTTACAGTAGCTGAAATAAGATTTAGATTCCTTAAAATATTACCATTTTGTGCGCATGTGGTTAGATTGAAACCTAGTTAATGTTAGTTTTTGTTCCATTTATATTAAGTCATTCTATAACATAATAAAAAACGGTAGTGCAGTGAGGCGCGGCAAAGTGTAGACGTGGCAAATATAGGAAAAGTATAGATGATATCTTACAGTGATTAAAATTACTCTTCTAAGAAACGTTTTATACAAATCTGTAAATAGTATTTAATTTTAAGAAACTGATGTATTATTCCAAAAGAATGATTAACTAATTTTCTAAGTTATATCGCGATTAGTCTTTATTTGTTTTATACAAATAATATATATGAATAAATACAAATTATAGTAATTAAATTTAGTATAAAATTGATATTCAATAATTTATTATTGTAATATTTATGGAGAAATTATAACAAATCATAAAGTATAATTCGTTACATCTATAGCAAGAGCGAATTAAAATTATAAAACTTTTGCAACAACTAGATGAGTACAATATTTCAGAAAATAATTTTCGTTAATTAGGAATTAATACACTAGTCTACCAGGTATTTTCATCATAGACAAAAATACACTATTATCTGTAATTAGATTTGAAATCCAACCCAAATTCTTTTTTAACTTCGATGCGAAGCTTAGAAGGTATTGTTTTTACTATGTGTTTTAGCTTCGATGCAAAGCTGAGAAGGTATTGGTTTTACTAAGATGTGTTTATTTTTTTTTATTTTTATTTTTTTTTTTTTGTGTCTGTTACCACTTTTTCTCAGCTCTCACCGAACCAATTTCTTTCAATGATACGTCAAAAGATCACAAGTTGTATCTAGTCGAAGACATTACCCTCAAAAATTGAAAAAAATGCCCTCGTTCCCCGTAAATGGGGGAAACCTCCAAAAAAATTACAAATTTAAAAATCGTTAATTTTCGAAATTTTTTCAATTTTTTTTACTTAAAAGTGCCATAACTTTTTCAAAAATAACCATATCAATAAAATTCTTTTTTATATAAATGTGTAATATCATTACCTTTTGTTTGGTATATTTTTTTCATAAATTTAACCCTTAACCTGCCCACAAGGGTAGATTTAAAATGACAACTTTTTCACAACAAATTTACTTTTTCAACTTAACTTTTGAAAATGTTCCGGAAGGTCTGACACTTCTATATATATCTTAAATTAAAGCTAATGTAATATTCTTTATTATGCAAAAAAAAAATTTCGTACTTTATTTTATCTTTATAAATCCAACCCAACCCAACCCTACCGAATGCTATTTTTGTGTGAAAATTTCCGATTTTGTATTTTACATTTTTAACTTTATTATGGGTTTTTATAGATGCATGAAGTTTTTACCTTTTATTTAGTATATTTTTTTATAAATTTGACCCTTTACCTGACCACAGGGAGGATTTGAAATGACAACTTTTTCACAAAAAATTTAATTAATCAACTTAACTTTTGAAAGTGTTCTGGAAAGTCTGACACATTTATATATATTATTGAAAAAAAAATTTTCGGACTTTATTTTGTCTTCACGATGAAAATGGCTAACAAATGCTATTTTTTGTGTGAAAATTCTTGATTTTATTTATTACATTTTTAACTTTATAATGCTATTACTTATTGAAAAGTGTATGGATCAATACAATTTTTTTATAAGAAATAATATTTATATCCCTTTTTTATTCGACATACACTATCTTAATCAGGATATAAATAAGGAAATAGCAAATCATACAGCTTTTGTTACAATCCACAATTTTTCTTTTAAATTAAACACCACTTAAGATTTGCATCGAAGCGTTTTTTATGATAGTGATTTTAATAACTGTCAGATATTATCATACTTGACCCAATTTTGGCACGCCACCACAGTGCCGCGACCCCCCTTATGCTAGTTTTTTTTTAAGTATTTCTAATTAGAAAAAAACGAGTATTCACATATTTAAAATAAATACCATAATAATATAAGTCAAAATTGAATTTAACAACACATAGTCATTAATAAAAGTAGGCAAAGAGTAATTTTGAATCATAGAATATTTATGGGATATATATTTATGGAATATAGTTCTGAATAATTCAATTGTACCATTTATTTAAACACCAAGATTTACATAAAAATGACTATAATATTCATTGAAGATTTATTTTGATATTAATTCAAAAAAATTATAGTAAAATTAATATCTTCTCAACTTCGAATGGAAGCTATAATAGTGATTTCAACGAAATTTTTAGCTTTTCTCATAATTTTACTGTTAAAAGTAATTATATAAGTATCTTACCACATATTAATCAATATCATTTTTTTAAATCCTCGTAAAATTATTTATTTAATTATATCAATATCAAACTTGCCAGTTGAACTAAAAAATGGTTAAAAGTTCAATATTTTTAAGGTTAGATAAGCTTATTGTGACTGCTGAATATTTGATTGTGATATCACTTATGATTATTCATTAGAAGAAATTGCATTATAGCGTTATGCTTGTGACCTATTAAATTTATGTAGTTAGTTATCACTCACATGTAAAAATTTGATACCGTTTGGTACATGGTCAAATAATGATTTTTTGAATATCATATCAGGTTTGAATAATAATACATTTTATAGGTCTAATGATATTCCCACATACTGGTTAATACTTTTAACTATATTATGAATATTAAAGAGCTTTGTAATAAATAGTGTGTATACACAAATAAAAATATTTTTATATTACAATTCATTGTTTAATGTTTATAGAATACATTTGCAACCAAAGCAGTTATACAAATTTATATAGCCAAAATAATAAAACGGATATTCAAACAGAATCACAGATCAAGGTAGATAAAAATGATAATTTTGCATTTGACGTAGAAGATATGGTCTTTCTTTACACAGATAGTGTAAAAAGAAGTGAAACTACAAATCAACAGGTGGAATCTGTCTCATGTGCAAATCCAGATAGTCAATCTAAAAACAGACCGGAATACATAAAAGACTATCTTCCTTTTAATATTTCTTAAAAATAATTTTTTAAACCCAGAACTTTAGAAATTAGTAATAATCTCTGAAATCAGAGGATGATTAAAAATCAGTGTTCAAATTTCCTTAAAGAACAACTAAAACATTTAATAGCAAAAAAAATCATTACCTTTTTTGTACATTTATTTAGTATAATTATTTAAACATATTATGATGTTGTAACAATAAAAGTAAATAATAACAATTTACTAAAATAATTTAGTTTAATAATATGTATAAATGGTTTTAATTTCTTATTATTTTTTTTTTCATTCTTTTGTTTAAGTTGAATTTTAACATTTTTTGATTTCAACTTTTGTATAAATATGAAAGATTTTAATAGGCTGTTAAAAAAAAATACAAAATGATTCTTTTATTATTAACCAGTTAATTGTTCAAAAATTAAATATACACAGTGATTCACTTTGTATTTTGTCATTGTCTCATGCAATATCTTCAAAATTATTAAATAAAATATAATTTTTTCTTTTTATAAATTACTTGTTTCCTATGAATAAAAATTAACATAAAAAATATTATATACCCTCCCTCTCTTTCTTCTTTAAATTGTATTATATTTAGCTTTTTTAAGAGGAATTATAATCATTTATACATTTCTGTGTACACGAGAAAGTTCTTGTCGGCAATAGTAGTAACAACGACAGTAACTTTCTACAAAAAACTTTCCAGAGCA